ACAGGCTCCACTGGAGACAACCCACCCGCCTGAAGTGCAGCTTCTCCTTGGAGCCAAAGTGAACACACGGCATATCCCAAGCCAGGGCCAATTCCAGTGTCCTGTGTCCCTGGGCAGGCACTCTGCAGCTGGCACACACCGCCGCTGCCGTCACCTCCCCCTTCTCCATCAGGCTGCTTTTACCTGCCGGGAAAAATGATCCTATTCATAAGAGACCAAGGAAGTCCCGTGAAGGGGTAAATGAAGATCACACACCCCCCAAAGAGGATTGAGACCCTTTGGGCATAGCACAGCCCCGGTGCAACCTGGAAGTTACAGCCCCAGGGTTTTAAGGGATGACTCTTGCTGCAGGAAAAGATACATTCCATGGGCGGAGTCCTCAGTCAAAGCAGAGGAACAAATCAGGCAGGAAAAGCCACCAGGCATGAGTGGAAGGCACAGAAGTCCCATGACTTTGTGCTGCTCAGAGACACTGACTTTCTAGTGACAGTCATTGTTTCCAGCTTTTTGCAGGGTGTTTGAGCCATGCTGGTATTTAAGAAAAGCCCTGAGGCAGCTGCATAATTATATGCTGGTTGTGACATGTGGACAAGGTAAACTCATTAGAGCAACAATTTTAACACAAGCACAGATCCTGACTATGATAATATCTGGCATTCATGAAGGAAAACCACATCCCAATAGCCTGAAGAGCTCTGAATGCATCCAGGCAGGAAGCTTCTTTTTCCATAAATATTCACACAAACACTTCATTTACATAATGTAAGGTTCAAGAAATATTGCAAAGACCCAATGTCAGCCTCACTAGTTTGTCAGCATCATCCTTGCTTAAAAGCTGACAGAGACATTGGGCAAATGGTCACTTTTCATGGCAAGAGAAGGTGAGCAGCAAGGGCTGGGACCTTGCCTGAAGCACCCTGCTTCCAGGCTCCTCCCAAGGGAGCGAGCAGACAGCTGAAGGATGATGCAGAGTTACTGAGGGAATACCAGAGACCTTTGGGGAACTGGTACAGTAACAAGCAGACAGCAAGTGATGGCAGCACCAAATGCCAAAGGCTGCCAAACATCTGCTGGAACCAACCTGATGGGACACAGCTCACTCATCTGGCAACAGGGACTGAGGGAAGGCGGCTGGGCAGCACCCTGGCTACTCAGCACAAACCTCAGCTCAGTGGGCAACCCCACACAGACTAAGGAGATACTGGCACCTGGAACTAAGAGAGCCAGGAACAGCCCCAAAGTGATGTGAACACCACTCTTTTAGAGAAGCACACAAGAAGAAGCAACAGAAAGGTTGGATACAGCCTGAAGTTGGGAAGAAGCCACAGCATCCCACCGAGCTTTTAGCAATGGCACCAAGGTGGCTGGAGGAAGGGAATTCTGCCTTGGCTCAGGTACCCTGTGCCCCACAAGCAGGGGGGCACCCATTGCCCCTGCTCCCCCTTCACATGTCCCATGGAGGGTGGAGGGACTCACCGGTGGGTGAATCCAGCCTGCCATCCTGCAGGAGGTCCTGCCACACCTCTCTACCCAATCCCATGGGATTGAATGCCGTCAGGTGGCTGACTCCCGTGCCAGCCTGGAGAAGGGAAGAGAATCATCAGGGGCTGGTACTTTGGAGGGGCAGATGCAGGCTCTCCACCCCCAACAGCACTGGTACGCCACACTCACTCCCCACTTGCTGCCCTCCAACTGCAACTCCAAACCTACTCACCCACTGCCCTGCAACCTTCACCCACAGCTTCTCTCCTGCCCACAGGGAAGTCATGTCCTCACCCCTGAGGTCAGGCAAGCACTGAGCACTGCTGCTGGCCCCAACCCATTGGCACACCCATCAGCTATCAGCTGCCTGGAAGCAGCTCCACCCCAGCCAGCAGAGATGCACAACCCCCCAGCAGGAGCCACAGCACCAGGGCAGCTCTTCACCTTCTCCCGGGCAGAGATGGCGAGAGTGAAGGGGTTCACACTCGTGCAGTGGTGCAGCAGGACTCCAGCAACTCGCTCGCCATCCTTCTCCAAGGTGAAGGGCTCGTTCCAGTGCCCTCCGCTCCTGTCCTCCTTCGTTCCCATGCCGTTCTGCAGGCTGAACATGATGGACACTTCCACGTCCTCATCCCTTCCGTTCTCCACCTCCCAAATGAACACTCCCACTGGCAGGCTGGAGTCCTGGCAGGGACAGAGAATGCTGTGTACATGGCTGGTGCTCCACTGTTGGCTGCCGGAGGATGATTTCTCTCACTGCGGGGGAAACCACGCAGGACACAGCGGGATCAAGAGCACCAGGAACAACTCAGTCTTGGAGTCTGTTGCCAAGCTGAGGAGGACCAGCAGGAGCAGAGGAATTTTTGTGGCAGGCAATACAAAATTCAGAAGAGGAGCCCTGGGCTAGCAAACACCACACCCGGCAAGAGAGAGACGGAAAAAGGTGTTTAAGGCTCGTCCGGGTGTCTCATCCCTCAGCTGCTTGGCAGGTTGATACAGGCTCACGTGCTTCCCTGGGGTAAGAGGAAGGTCAGATGTGTCAGCAGCACAGCCTGCCACCCTCACCCGGGGCTGGGAGCCAGCACGAGCAGCGTGAGGGAGAGCTGAGCCATCCCTTGCTGCCATCCCGAGCTCCCACACAGCTGCAGGGGTTCCCCCTGTATGGGACCATTGCTGAGCAGAGACACAGGGAAATGTTGGGAAAGCCCAGCTAATAAGCAGCTCTTCCCTTTGGGATGTCATCACCTCCTTACCTTCTAGTCATGGGGGATGACAGGAGAGACCTGTCAGCAAGTGAGCACCACATTCTGCCCTGGGAGCTCGTAGACCATCCAGGCCCGGGGGTACAGGGCGTGGTGAAAGGCGTTAGTGGCCACAGTAGCCCCAGTTCCAGCCCTGCAGAGTGCTGGGTCTCTCCACAGACAAGATCTGCTGGTAAACGGTCTATCCCTTACAACGCAGGCACACGGTGAACTGGGGAGGAGAGGAACATATGTAGGGAATGAGATGAGCCCAATGACAGATGTCCCAATGACCCAGGCTGCTGCAGTGCCACTGACTCCCCCTGCATACCCTGCTGCACCTACCTGGTTGGCGATGACTGTTTCATAGTTATAAATGCCAGGATTCAGCTGCCAGTGGCAGAACTTGCTCCCAAAACACTGTTTGTCTAAAAACACAGAAAAAGGTGTATGAAACTTGGCACATGTTATTTCCTGCTCTCAAAAATCCAAAATTGATATCAGAGTTAACTAGGGTTTCTTTGGGTCCCTCAAGTCTGTTCCTCTTCAGTTGCAAGAGAAGAACTGGCTGCAGATTCCTCAGGTCTGGTGGGATGGGAAGAGCAGCTGCTGGTGGTGCCATTTCTGGAAGAGAGCTGAGCACTGGAGAGCCATTGTATGGATTATTTATGCCCCATGGGCAGTTGTCAGACCAAAGCTTTCTGGTGGTGATGGAGAGGCAGACAAGTGTGCTGACTGAAGGAAGGAGTGACCTTGTGTGTGGGAGGGTGATGAACCACTTCATCCTCTGTTGGTAAATAGGAGGGCAGTTTCAGGTGACTTCACCCGGGAGCATTTTTTGCTGAACGCAGTGGGATTTAATGAGAAATGGGCCTGGGGTCAGGCCCTCTTGTGAGGGGTGGGATTGGGGCTGTGCCTGGGCTGCAGGCAGGATCTGGCCCAGACCTGCAGTAAATACCCACTGGGGAGGAAACAGTGAAGGTGGTGCACTCCAGAATCTCCCTTGCCTTTCCTAGCCTTGGAATTCTGTTGCTGAAGGTGGCACTCTTCCCTGCCCTCTGGTGAGCTTTGAGCTCACTGGAGGTGGGATTGATGAACTTCTCTCCTCTGTTCCTATGAGCATCGAGGTGTTTTTCCATGTATTTTGATCTGTTGCCTGGCTGGCAGCACTCCTGTTTGTAACCTCATTAACTTGCCCTTGCTGCGTGCACAAGTCAGTAATGCAATGTAAGAGAAGCCTGTGCCCCGGTCCTGAGGAAACTGTGCCCCAAAAGCTTGTGCCAGAGATGGCTGCTTCACACCAGCCCTTTGGTGATCCCCAGAGCAGCACGTGGGCTTCTCTGCAGAGCCAGACTGAGGAAGAATGGCTGTGTGGATGCTTGGCTTTAGCAGAGCTGAGAGGGATTTGCTGATTTTCCTTTGAGTCTGCCAAGGTGTGTGGTTGAAGTGTCCAGCCTCCCCTGGGAAGCTCCTGCCTGGTGTCATCACAGCCTCTGTTTCCCCAGGCTTTGGTGTCACCAGAGTGGCAAGCAGGCTCTGGCAAGTCCCTGGGCTGTTGATGAGACTCCCAGATCTTCCCTTTCTTGCAAGTAGATGCTGTGGTTACTC